GGCGGCGGGGAGGCCGCCGCTGGGCCCCGAGACGGCACAGCTCTTGTCGCACGGCGCTGCGGTGGCGGCCCAGGCGCTGGTCCTTCTGCTCATCTTCCTGCTGTCTAGCGTGGGCAACTGCGCGGTGATGGGGGTGATCCTGAAGCACCGGCAGCTCCGCACCGTCACCAACGCCTTCATCCTGTCCTTGTCCCTGTCAGACCTGCTCACCGCGCTGCTCTGCCTGCCCGCCGCCTTCCTAGACCTCTTCACGCCGCCAGGGGGCGCGGCGCCCACCGCTGCCATCGCCACCTCCACGGGGCCCTGGCGCGGCTTCTGCACCGCCAGCCGCTTCTTCAGCTCGTGCTTCGGCATCGTGTCCACGTTCAGCGTGGCCCTCATCTCGCTGGACCGCTACTGCGCCATCGTGCGTCCGCCCCGCGAGAAGATCGGCCGGCGCCGCGCACTGCAGCTGCTGGTGGGGGCCTGGCTGGCGGCCCTGGGCTTCTCGTTGCCCTGGGAGCTGCTGAATGCACCCCTGGAGCCCCCGGCGGTGCAGAGCTTCCACGGCTGCCTGTACCAGACTTCCCCGGACCCCGCGCAGCTGGGCGCGGCCTACAGCGTGGGGCTGGTGGTGGCCTGCTACCTGCTGCCCTTCCTGCTCATGTGCTTCTGCCACTACCACATCTGCAAGACCGTGCGCCTGTCGGACATGCGTGTGCGCCCAGTGACCACCTATGCGCGCGTGGTGCGCTTCTTCAGCGAGGTGCGCACGGCCACCACTGTGCTCATCATGATTGTCTTCGTCATGGGCTGCTGGGGGCCCTACTGCTTCCTGGTGCTGCTGGCTGCGGCCCGCCAGGCCCAGGTCGCAGAGGCCCCCTCACTGCTCAACGTGGTGGCTGTCTGGCTGACTTGGGCCAATGGGGCCATCAACCCTGTCATCTACGCCATCCGCAACCCCAACATTTCCATACTGCTGGGGCGCAACCGAGAAGAAGGTTACAGGACTAGGAATGTGGACCCTTGCCGGCTCAACCAAAGCCCAGGGTTGCGGGCCCGAAGCCGCAATCGCCTTCGAAACCGCTCTGCCAACCGGCTGGGGCCCTGCCCCGGGTTTTCCGTGTCCAACCGCACTAGCGGGGCGGGAGGGGACGTGACCATGTGGGCATACAAAAATCCAGTTGTACTTTTCTGTCGGGAGGGGCCACCAGACTTTACGGCAGTCAAACAGTCTAAATCAGAAGCCGGAGATACCAGCCTCTAGAAAGAATGAGATTCAGTTTATGAAAGCAAATTTCCATCCCCTTCGTTTAGTGAGGCAGGACTCAGGGGGAACTGCGGGATTTCACAATTATTTAAGAGTGAGAGAGGGCGAGGGAGGCTTGCCACTTCCACCAAAGGACTCTGTGAAAGAAAATGTACCCTTCTTCAAAAGTGCCAAAAGGAATGGAAAATGCGAAAATTAAAACAATCTTAAACGAGACAAACATTGTGAACTCTTAAGTGCCCAAACTGACAAAAAGAAAATACACATTGCTGAAAAGCTCACATGACAGGTATCACACTGTGAAACAAACTAAATCATTGACTACAAACAGTATTTATTCAGATGCAGTTTCAGGAATGAAAGGAGACCCTGAGAGCTACTTGAAAGCCACTCTAAGCCACCAGCATACAGCAAAACTTCCAATTTCTAGAACTTGCACCTCCGATAAAAGCTTTAGGTGCTTAGGTTCAAAAGAAGTAACATTTATTTGTTGATACTTTGGTGCACTCCATCCTCCTTTGTGAGGATTTTAAAATTCAAACCCACTAGGGTTTGGGAAATATGGTTTGTTTATTTATTACTAGACAAAATGCAATGGTTCCTTAAGGAAAAATACAAATATGAACCCCAAAAAGTGACTACATTTAGAAAGTACTCCAATATCATGCATAAAAATCAAAGTCCTTTCCACCCCTTTCCTAATCCTGAGATCACCTTCAATGCAACTTTACCTTCATTCAAACCTGCTACTTCAGTTTCTGATAATTTTTTAGAAGAAACTCTTATAACATGTCATGTTTTTTAAAAAGCCCTTTTATAATGAAAAATATGTCTTTAAAAGTAAATTTTAAAATTTTGAAAAAGTCAAAGATGTTAATTTGAAGTCAAGTTTCAAATACGTTGAGTGATGCAACCTTACTTAAAAATGAGAGTTTTGTAAAGTAGCAAGATTGTCTTCCCTATGAAGGAAATTATATTATTAGCTTATAACTAATTTGAAGATGATTCCAAAAAGGAAATTTATTTTGGATTCCAAAAAGGAAATTTATTTTGAGTAGTAGTCCCATTCTTGGAATAAGCACAGTACTTTCCAAGAGGGTTGTACTCTCCTATGTTAGAAATTTAAGTGTTTGCTAAAAAAGAAGAAGTCATTCCTTTATGGATATGATTTGTCTATGATTAAGTCTTCATTAGAGTGAAAGAATAAGATGGTTGTACGTAATAGGGTATTAAAAAGTAATGTAACTTTAAGTTTTTATGTACCATTGAGTCAGAACTGATTCAGCTGACTTTCTGGAGGGTTTTTGGAGGAAATAAATTGCATAACAGGAGATTACTCAACATTTTCACTCAGATCAGCTAGTGGATTCAAACTGTGTCTCTTTGGCTTGGCAGCATAATTCCTTACCACTAGGCCACCAGAGCTGCCTAACTGTACAAAGATACTGAAACTGAAAGCATAATCTTCTTAAGAAATGGAGAAAATAAAAATGATTGTTAAAGTTATTCAGAAGCACAATTAAGGATTTATATGTATGAAATTTTTCACATTGAATGTGACTGCTGTTGTTATGTGCTGTCAAGTCACCTGTGACCCACAGCTAACCTATGTACAGCAGCTCTGAACCCTGCCCTGTCCTGAGCCAGTCTTAACTGATTCCAACACACCAACCCACATTGCCCCATCAATCCATCTTATCTGAGGTCTTCCTCTCCTGTGCTGCCCCTCCACCCTTCCAAGCATGATGTTCTTGTCCAAGAACTGGCCCCTCCTGGCCATGTGCCCAAAGTATGTGAGACAGCTTTAAAATCCTAGCCTCCAAGGAGAAACTTGGCTTCATCCTCTCCAAGACAGAGTCCATGGTATGTATGTTCAAGACTCTTCTCCAGCACCACAATTTCAAAGCATTGATTCTTCTCTCATCCAGCTCTCTGATAAGTAGCAAGTAATTGTGAAGACCATGGCCTGGATTAGGCAAACTTTAGTCTCTATACTGACATCGTTGCTTTTCAGTACTCTGTGGAGGTCCCTGACAGCATATTTTCTCAATGTGAGTACACAGAATCATTTACTCAAATATTTAAGAGGTATTTTGTTCTCCCTTTTTTGTCCACACCATTATCATCAACATTTCCTAACTTTAACTGAGTAAGTACCGAGGATTTCAATGTGAAATAGCCAGCCTTTTTCTCTGGTATGTTTAAAGATGTTGAATGATATTTCATTATTTGTATGACAGTGTATTTTTAATAAAAAATGGAAATACATGATTTATGTTAGGCCTAAATTTGTTTTTCCCCTATGAAGACATTGCTACAATAAAAATTTGTTGATTATCAATGTGCATTTTGCCCCACCTAGTACTTCGATATACTTATCATAGAACATGTTCAGATTTAACACAACTTAGATAACACTTAACAGGTATCTGCAGTATTTGCCTGTTAAAGGCAGAAAGGTTACGCACATTTTGCGGCATTGTGATAAAACAGAAGTCACATCTGATGCTCGGGAAGAAATAATAAAATCTTTTAATTCTGAAAGATCACAGAATAATAGTTCACTAACTGTCACTAAAGGACAGAAAGACAGTTTACAGGGAGAGGGTGGGCATACTGAAAAATAGGATACTTTCTGAGGGGAAAAAAGGGACAGTGTTACAAAGTGAAACAACTCCACAGGATTTTCTTGGTGTACGGAAGCAAATTAGCAGACCTCTGTTCCAAGGGCTACTGGGCAGGTTCACATTAACCGTCTTTCGGTTGTTATGCACACTCTGTCAAGCCAGAAGAGATGCATAGTTGACCCTTCAGTGGGTTTTTGGAGACAGTAAATCACACGAGAGGTGACTGCTCATCTTTCTCCTTTTAGGTTAGTAGTCAAGTGCAACATACACCATTGAATAAATGAGCCTGGTTAGTGAAGGGGAAAATGTTAGCAATTACAAGTGACAAAGTGAGGACATGAAGAACTTAAGGGAGAAAAGAAAATTTCACTGTACTTCTCCAGTGTTAGATAGTTCTAGGAATAGGGTGGCTTAGAGAAGAGATTGTTCTGTTAGGAACTCTAAAAATCACAGCTGGTAAGCTTGGAAGCAGGAGTGGCATCCACTTCCAAAATAGCTTAACTCCAGAAACTCTATGAACTTAGAGAAATGATGAAAGTTATACAAGTGATCAAGTCTTTCATTCATAGGGTTGCTATAAGTTGTCTACAACTTGATGACTCTTAACAACAGTTCTGAGATGGCAGGTCTCCTTAATACACCACATCTTTTGATTTCTTGACTACTGTTGCCAAGAACTGTTTAGACCTAGAGAGTGTCTGTTCACTACTCTCAAAGTCCCTTCTCCATTTGTAAAGGGGGAGGGTAGTGATGCCTACTTTGAATTGCAGTCTGACCACTTAGTGGCGGGGAGGGGAGCAATGGTGGTGGCACTGGAACCTGGGGTGCTGTTCCTGCCTATGGTCTTCAGTGAGGTGCAGGGACCAGGACCGGCTGGGGGGAGGGGCTTTAGTAGGGGGGATGCCATCCAGCACCTGGGGTGTGCCACATGGCCCCTGGGTTGTGTCATCCAGCCCTCGGGGATAGCCATCCAGCCCCCGGGTTGTGCCGTCCGGTCTCCCCCACCTGGCCCCTGGGGAGAGCCTTCAGGTCACTGGGAAGAGCTGCCTAAGGTATACAATTAACTTTATCTAACCCACTTTTCTCTACCTCCTCCCTCAGGACAACTGTAACACCCCCAAAGCCCTTCTCTTTGTAACTCACAAGTTTGTTCTCTCTAGGTTTGCTCCCTTTCCTATAGGTAACCTTAACACTGAGTTTTGCTCCAGACCTGAACCCTGAATTCAGTTTCAGAGACAAAAAGAAAATATAACTGCCAGCTGAGGAAGAGGAGGAGGATGGAGCCTCAGGGTTCAGCCAGCCATCCCCACTGGACCCACCTTGGCAAACACTTTGCAGTCCAGAAGGCAGTAAATGTAAGGAAAATATCTTCTAACAGAACAAGAAGGCATGCAGTGCCAACCCAGGACCACCAGTGAGGTGTTAAAGTGGGCTCCCCTTCCCCCTTTACATCAATGCCCTGGTTCAGCATGAAGAAGCCAGAGAGTCTGCACCCCATTCCCAAGTGAGAAGCCCACAAGTGAATAAGACAATTTATTTATTTAAAAAAAAACAAATTAATCACCCTTGTACTATGCTCAGCATTACCCTGTCTCTTCTGGTCCCCACTGGATCTTTCTCATTTCCTTCACCCACTCTCCCCATCCACCAAATTATGCAGCCCTGTGACTTCATCCCTGCCCATCCTCACTCTTCTGCTCCCAGCCCTCACCACTTGTATTCCCACACATGTTTTTCACCATAAAAAAATGGGAGAAAAGTGCAAATCTATACAACTAATAAGTGATAAACTTGAATCACTGTCTGTTTGCAAAACCTATGTTTCTTAATTTACCCCCTACTGTGCCCACAAAGGTCAAATTTTAGGGTAATCAAGGCTAAGAAGTGGTACTATCATCCTCCTCATAACCAACTACTATTTTGTCTCCTAGTTTATGCAGGGTCCCTTTTTAGGGTCTTGACATGTGTCTTCCAATTGGAACTGACTCATAGCTGACCCTCCAGTGTTTTTTCAGAGGCTGTAAACAGCATGGAAAGAGATGGCCCATCTTTCTCCCTTGTGGCTTTACACCACTAGAGAGGGATGACCTTTAGTTTGGCAGTGCAACTTCCTATAGACTACGTCACCAGAGCTCAGTACATATATTAGCTCTTTTAATCCTCAAACCAAACTGAAGAGATGGGTGGATACTATATCACTCCTACAGAGCTCCGGTGGCTAAGGAGAAAGGAGTTTTGCTGCCCACCCAAAGTCATGTGGTTTGAATCTACCAGTTATCTATGGGAGAAGGATGGACAGTCTCCTCCTGTGTGATCAATTGCCTCTGAAAACCACTGGAGGGTCAGCTATGGATACACAACAACAACAACAGAAGGAGGATCAGCTTTGGGTTTATTCTGACTTGATGGCACACAAAAACAACAATTATCCATGTTGTTTCTCTGTTAGCCCAAAGGTCACTCCTTTCTGGAAGATGGAATCTAACAGTATCCATCAACAGCTCCCAGGAAGAAAGTTGGATGATGACTAAGAATGACAGAAGAATTAATGCTCTTGACTTGTGGTGTTGGAGAAGAGTACTGAA